GCAGGTAGATGACGGCGTCATCCGCCCCGATGTTCGGCTGGTAGGCGAACTGCAGAGGATCCAGATTTGAAGTCATCAGGGGGCGGAGTGTTGAGGACGATCCTCTCCATGGTCTTCATCAGGTGAGAGGTGAGGGCACAGGTCTGAAGTGGTTAGGCTCCTGAGGTGAGATGTCTTTGGGACTGGCACCACGCAGGAAGTCTTCCACAGAGTCGGTACGCTCTCAGTCTCAGGCTAGGTTGAAGATGTGCAGAAGGACCTCACAGAGCTGGTCTGCACAGTCCTTCAGGAGTCTGGAGCTGATGCCGTCGGGACCTGTGGCTTCCTCGCTTGATCTTCCTCAGCTGGCTTCTCACCTGATCAGCTGTTATGGAGAGGCCGTCGGAGGAGGAGGATGAAGAAGAGGAGGGGGTTGTTGGGGGGTCGTCTGAGGAGGAGGAGAAGGAGAGGGCTGTTGAGGGGGGTGGCAGGGTACTCAGGGTACTCAGATGGAGAAGCGGGCTGGTCTGCGTCTGGTGGGTGGGGTGGGTTGGAGCAGAATCAAATCTATTGAAGAACAGATTCTGTTCATTTGCCCACTCCTGTCTCCTGCTTCAGGGCCCCTCCCACGCCTTCTGCTGTGACCTGAGATGTTATTCAGGCCCCTCCAGACTTCTCTTGCATTTTTATGTTGTAAATCTTCCTCCATCTTTTCCGATAGCTGGCTTTCATTCCTTGATTTTAATCTTGAGCTATCCTTTTGCACCCTCCTCAGCTCCTCTCTATCTCCAGATCTAAAAACCCTTCTCTTTTCATTGAGCAGGGTTTTCAGCTCAGGGGTCACCCAGGGTTTGTTGTTGGAGAAACACTGTATTTTTTGGTGGGTACAGTGTTCTCAACACAGAAGTTTATGTAATCTGTGATGCAGTGGGTTAAACCGTCGATGTCCTCCCCATGTGGGCTGCACAGCACCTCCAGTCAGTGGTGTCGAAGCAGTCCTGCAGCGCCTCAGTGGCCTCCTTAGACCACTTCTTCACATACCTGGTTGTGGGGGGTTGTTTTTTCACCATAGGTATGTAAATGGGCTGCAGTCTCACCAGGTTGTGGTCTGAGCGGCCCAGAGGGGGAGGGGTGATGATCTGTATGCAGCCTTGGTGTTTGCATACAGTAAGTCCAAAGTTTTATTGTCCCTAGTATGGCAGTCAACATACTGAGTGAAAGTAGGGAGAGTGGCAGACAGGGAAACGTGGTTAAAGTCTCCTGAGATGAGAGTAAGAGACTGGGGGTGTGATGTCTGTAGCTGAGACACTACACTGTGGATGAGTTCCAGGCTGCAGCAGCGTCTGCCGAGGGGGGGATGTAAACAGTCACCGCGATGACGTGTGAAAACTCCCTCGGCAGGTAATATGGCCGAATGCTTACAGCCAGCAGCTCCACATCCTTAGTGCAGCGCTGTTCTTTAACGGTGATGTGCCCAGAGTTACACCATCTCTCATTCACATACATCGCTATTCCCCGCCTTTCTTCTTACCGCTCTCCCTCGCGCTCCGGTCCGCTCTGACGAGGTGGAAGCCGTCCAAAGTTACGAGCGTGTCCGGAGTGAGTTCATTCAGCCATGTCTCCGTGAACTGCATGATGCTACACTCTCGGTACTCCCTCTGAAGCCGGGTGAGCGCCGTCAGCTCCTCCATCTTATTAGGGAGAGATCTTACATTCCCCATAATTAAAGACGGCACGGATGGTTTGTACCGTCTTTTCTTTTCCGGCACTTCACTCCGGCTCTGCATCCCCTTCTCTTCCTCCGTAGTTCTGCGGGATGTCCGGTCTTTCGGCTGGATGTAACCGAGGCTGGCACAGCGCAACCAGCTGTTCACGGGTGTAAACAATGGAGCCCAATAAACAGAAGAAATATTGCGATAAAAAATGTTTTAATCAATATTTAGTTCTTACCTTTTCTTCGGGCATTGGCTTTGCCTTGTCAAGCTCAGATTTGCTGTAGAAATGAACATGTTGGATAGGGTCCTTGTCGTCCATGCCATAGTCCATTTCAATGACCTAAAATGAAGGTTGAGAGTAAAAGTATGTCTGCAGTAACAAATTTTGCAACATCTTACAAATCAAAAAATCTGCAAAACCCAAGATTTTACAAAAAGGTGAAATGAAAGAAAGTCAAAAAACTCACCAGGATTTCAAAGTCCTTTGGTGTCAGGTTTCTTTCTCCCTCAGCCAGTCCTTTTTTCCAGCTAGGAATCAGGCTCTTGAAAATGGAGCAGAAAAGTTGAGAAGAGTGCGAAAGGATAGAAAAGGTTTTTTGCATTTAAAGTTGACAATGTAAGAAACTTGGAATTCATTTCACATTCACTCAAAAAACTGCACCAACTTAGTGTAGATATTTTTGACTGTAGGGCTGCATGGTATGATTTAAGCATCATTTTTGCTATGTGTACAAGTTCTATGATAACATTACAGAATATATAATATCAATCATATGTCCTGAAATGCATCATTTCATGCCATTTTTTGTTGTTTTTGCTTTTGAAAAAACAAAAAGCCTTCAGTTTCTCTCTTTCCATGACTGATCTACAATATCAGTCTGTCTGATCCTCTTCCTGATCACAAAGAGAAGTGACTTCTGTGCAGGCAGAGTCTATGTGCACATAAGATGTAGAGTTAAAGGGATCACATGCGGTGTGTGACGATGAACTGTTCTTTACTGTCACAGGGCTCTTGATGCAAATTAAAAGTCACTTTGAACATATAAGGGGTTCTTATTTGAAAAAGAAAATAGAATTGAAAGCCCAAATGACAATACAAATTGTAATTGTATGAACCTCAAAGGTTATCGCAGTTTCCCCAATATCATGCAGCATTAGTTGACTGAGGGATTTTGTATTGTAAGACATTTCAAGCTGCTATCCAATTCACATTACATTTCAAAAAGAGAACTGTTCAATAGTGTTGCTGTTCATGTTAAATGTAATAACAACACGGGCAAGATAAAATGCTGGAGACAGTAAATAATGTGATGTGTACTTATTCTATTAACTGAAAATGAGCACATTATCCAGCTTTGTGATAACGGTGCATTAGATCATGTGTTATAAATGTAATGAAACACAAGAACACACAGACTTACTTCCCAATCCTTGATGGGGTCCTTTGGCTTTCTCTCACCAGCAAACTTGTAGATCTTTCGAGAGATGATGTTTTGCAGAATCTCTCTTGCCTTTTCTAGCTCTGAGCAGGAAGACTTCAGTATTTCCTCAAACACTTTGTCTAAAAGAGTAACAGAGTAACAAGCAAACAAATGATAATAACACACACAAAAGTGAGTGAATTTAATTGAAACACACTCAATAAATTGTAAGACATGGCATGTTAATTTATAAGTCATCACAACTAAATTAACAGGATCTGGTTTATTTATCTTTAACAAATGCACGATAAAAAAAATGGATAAAGTAGCATAACTGTAAATGACCTAGCAACAGAGCCATCTGACAGAAAGCAGCATCTAACAAAGTGTGTTTCCAAAAAGTGTTGAAATATGTCACTGTTACTTCATAAATAAACATCCTAAATATCAAACAAGTTCAAATGATCAGGACAGCCAGTTGTTCAGGATGTTTGAGACTGGATTTGTGAACTCCTCAAACTACCAGATAACCTTGTCCTTGGCCAAACATCAAACCGACCAAGTGCCTACACACAATTTCCTTTTCAGATTGTTGGGTGTAGTGCATTATTTAAACAATGTCTTGATATTTCTGAAGTCTGAATTGGCTTCAATGTTAAACATGAGCTAACAGCACACATTTAAATCTACACACCTGTGAGCTTTGTGTAGGCCTCCATGTCCTCATTGGCTGTAGAGAGAGTGAACATCCTCCCTCCTGATCCTTCAATCTGAATGTGACCGTCTGCTTTAAAAAAAGCCTCTGCAATCCTGTATGTTCATATCAAACATATTATTACTGATGAGATAGTGAATCATGATGCAGATCAAATAATGGAAATCAGAAGGAGACCAATCTTATATTTGGAGTAATAACTTCTGAAGGTAGACACTTACATTTCTTGTATGATGTGGCTTACTCTGTGCTGACAGGCTCTTTTGTGGAGACAGTGTCTTGTATAGAACAAGTCGTACATATGGTCCTCCTCCTGTTGAGGTTAGGACTGTAGTTTAGTCATAAATAACAACATTATCAGTTTGCTTTCAATTATCTGTTTACAAGCTCAAGTGTGTCAGCACCTTGTCTCTGGTGCAGATAGTTTTCCTTTTTCCTTCTTTGCAGTCTTTGTCTTCAACCTCACACACTCTGGCAAACTGCAAGAAGCGACGAAAGTCAAAGTTGTTCTTGATCCCCAGGTAGGAAGAGTCCCTAAGTAGAGGCAGATCATTAATATCATTAATACATGTGTTGTATTGGAAATAATTCATAATATATCAACAAAATAAGAATGAAGTAAGGTGAAAGATCCATTTTACACTCACATGGAGGTTTTTGTTGTTCTCTATAGCAGGTCAGGCTTGGTTTGGATGGAAGATGAAGTAACAGACCTGAGCGCAGGCTTTTATAAAGTTGTGGTTGTGGCTTAAACAGGTGTGGCAAAGAAGTCAGATATCGGGATGCAAATTGGATGGTGTAACCCATTGGTGTTGATCTAGACCAGGAAAGGGCAACTTTGGTCACAGCAAGGGCCACATATATTTAATTCTCACTGTCAAAGGGCCAAATTGTAGGATATTCTTCGGTGGACTTATAATTCAACCAAAGGAAGGAATACATAGCTTTTATCAGCCTCTATGATACCAACATTCATATTTTAACCTCCAGTACAATTGTTAATCCTTAATTTGATGTGCTTACTTCAAAATTAAGTTTCTTTTCCAATACAATGAACAGAGTATTTACTGGTTATTTTAGGATATTTTTCTTTCTTTTTTTCAAATGTACAAACTAGTGTTGTAGTAATCGAAATCAAGACCGGTCTCAAGACCACTGTTTGAAGGTCTCGTCTTGAAAGTATTTTTACTCTGTCTTGTCTCTGTCTCAGACTGGGCGGACTCCTGATTTTAGATTAAGACCAGTCAAGACCACCTCCAATGCTCCTTTCTAAAAGAACAAATGACTTCAATTCATTTGTAGTTTGATTTTTATCTCTTGGTTACCACCGCAACCTTCCTGGTGTTACTGATGAGTGGTGAGTGACACGCCCGCTGCACACATGATGATTTTAAAAGTGATATTTATGGTCTTGGTCTTGACTTGGTCTCGATCCCTAAATGTCTCGGTCTTGTCTCAGTCTCATATCACTCTGGTCTCACATATGTCTTGGTCTCGGTTAGTGTGGTCCTCACTACAACATCAGTACTTAGTATACTTTCATATAAGAGTTTTACAAAAACACTAACAGTCAATTATATCTCAACTGCATGTGGCCCACCCTGAATTCTAGATTATAATTTGAATGTAGCCTCATTCTAGGAATCAAAATAAAGGCGCTTTATAGTATTTTGGCGTTGACACTTGCACAAACAAAAAGAAAACAAATTCAAGGGTATGAAAGGATTTCTCCATCATAACGTCCCTGCCCTTCCCCAACCGCCTGAGCCCCAGTAAACAGCCTAAAATCCCAGTTAAGTCTAGCTGGTTTTGTTCACTCAACTATACTTTCATCCACACGTGAGGAACCAGAGAGAACAGCCTCTTGGCCTGCAAGACTCTTTCCCTGGATTGCATTAGTAACTCTTGCAGATATTTGGAATACTTTCCCTTTAGTATAAAGCGTTTGGTGTGTGAGTCCATGCTGTGTAGGGAAAAAGTCGATGAGATTGATAGAAGGCCCACACACAACCTAAATGCTTAAAGCTGCAGCTTCCTGAGCTTCTCGTGAAGGACAGCATTATCATACAGCTTACTGTTCAGGACTCAACTTTCAAACTAAAAATCAATCTTTAGCATTTAATATGTCACAAAAAGGTCAAATAAAGAAAGAGTTATTCAAACTTACTGTCCACATACTCCCCATGGGACTGATAGGATTCATTCCCAATGTAAGCAGCATCTTGACCTCAGCAGTGGTCAGATACTCAGATTAGTTACCTGAGTTATAAGAGACATCTCAGAGGCCCTGAGATGATTATAACTGAGCACATCATGCCAATTTAGAAAGGTAAAAATATTGAGACATCTAACAACTCAGTGACATCAGAAATGTGAGAATGTGCCGACATGAGTTGTTATTTTGTGAGGGATAACGTTAAGGTAAGAATTGAATGTACACCACACTTTATTCATTGACTCCTGTTTTTTAGGTGAAAAAGGAAAGTTTAAAATGTAGTTTTTAAATACATTTTGGGGAGATAAAAAGCACAATCTTCCACTCTTATGTAAAGCATAAAGATGAACACTGAAGTAAAGGACAAGCACCTCTAAATGTTTTTTTCTGCTCAGTATTTTGTCAACAAAACATGTTTTGTTTCTCTGATTGTAAATGACAACAGAATGACTCAACAAGTGTTGAGAATGATAAGCAGTCCCTTAAAACGGCAAAGATTCTGAAATATATAAATACCTGGATCAGGTTGTGTTTTAAGTTGTTTATTTCTTGGACTAAAAGCTCTATGGGGTGGCAGTAGCTCAGTCTGCAGGGACTTGTGTTGGGAACCGGAGGGTCGTCGGTTCAAGTCTGGAGATTGGTCTGGTAGCTGGAGAGGCGCCAATTCACTTCCTGAGCACTGTCGAGGTGCCTTTGAGCAAGACACCTCTCAAGGCGTTTTATAACACATTATCACTCACCCCCCCCCCCTCCAGGATTATTAAAGTATTTCTAATTCTGAAATAAATGGAGAATGCGAAATAATGGAATTTCAAACATGCAAGTAATAATGTGATTAATTCCAATAAACTATTGGAATCTAGTGATTAATCACAATTTTTAAAAAAAATAATCGTTTGACAGCCCTGAATAAAATGTGAACTTACTCTGAAGTTAAGTGACATTAAACAGTAATAAAGTGTTTTTCATGAAGTCTTATCTGACCCTCTCCTGCTGAGTGTTTTCTTCTTTCAGATGTATTTTCTATTTAAGTTCATGAAGCATAATGAAAACAGTCTGATCTGAAAATACAGCTCTGTGTTTATGGACTCTCTGAAGTAAATATATTGAGAAACTTTTGGTCTTTCATAAACATCTTTCCTCAAGTTCTGTGGATTGGGTTTTGAACAAAAAGGAGAAAATGGTGCTGTTAACAATGATTTGTCATTGTTTCATGATATGATATTTATCTGAACTCTTTTATCTGAAAGCTGCAACATGTGATTTGTTTTAATCGCTCATCTCCTGCTGCTTCCTGTTCTACAACTAGAAAAAAATGCAAAGTATTCTACTTTGCAGGTAATTTCTTTACCTACCCCCCCCCCACACACACACACACACACACACACACACACACACACACACAAACACACACACACACCAAACAACAACGACACATGAACACTATTGTCAGTCTCTAACAGCATGAACACTAGAATAACATCTCCTGCATACAGTAATATGAATGTGTATAAATGTGAACAGCAGCATTACAAACATGTGATCCAAACTCCACACACTGTTTCTGTTGATATAAATGATCACATGATGTACAGTTGATTACTGTGTCCTACAAATAAACTTGACATGATGTGATGAAATACGCAATGTCAACGTTAACTCAACCTGTGAAGCATGTGAGGGCAGTCAAAAAACTTCTAAAGAACAGATTAAAATCCATATCAAGTAGTTGGCAGTTATGATGAAGTAATAAATGAGTGTTTACGTCTTTACAGAAGAATTTATATTTGTTGACTAATACTGTAGCAAACACTGAAATCTAAATAAAGTTAAAAACATCTTCTAAATGTTTATAGAGAGCTTATAAAATAGTGCAACGTTAACCAGAAGAATAAATTCTGTTAAGTTCATCAAAAATGATTTTCAAGAAAGAGAACATCCCAAAAACCGTTGGCTCAAATTGAAACAGATCTTGAGAAAATCTGGAATAGAAAATGCAAATAGATGTGTGGTACCTTCCACTCTTTAATCAAACATAGTTACATAGGCAAATTACTATTAACACTTTGTTAATTCTCTACTCATGTTGGCATAAAACCCCTGCTGTGATCTGCAACACAATATTATTATACTTAAGATAAAAGTTTAGAATGACAGGATTTAAGAAATAAATCAGTATTAGAAGTTACTTTTGAAGAAACATTTAGAGTCTTGATAAAGGATAAATACTGAAAATATTGACCCTCTCTCCCAGAAATGGAGCGTAGCGTTAGTTCAGGCAGGCCACAGAGTCACGATCTGTTATCATGCCAGAGTTTCGGTAACAGCTGATCTCACGCAAGTCGCATCAGCTGATGGCCAGCTGATTTGCTTCGAAGCATCCTATTGGCCAAATAGTACATATGCCGCCTTATTTAAACTGCTCTAGCCTGCCTCCTTTTGCTGCTCCCTCTGCAAGCAGCATTTGCAAGTGCATTTGCAACCCTCCTCCTCCCCACCTCCTCCCTTTTCTGCTATTGTGACTTAATCAGTGTCATGCTTGTCTACAGCCCTGAATAAAATGTGAACTTACTCTGAAGTTAAGTGACATTAATTACAACAGTAATAAAGTGTTTTTCATGAAGTCTTATCTGACCCTCTCCTGCTGAGTGTTTTCTTCTTTCAGATGTATTTTCTATTTAAGTTCATGAAGCATAATGAAAACAGTCTGATCTGAAAATACAGCTCTGTGTTTATGGACTCTCTGTAGTAAATATATTGAGAAACTTTTGGTCTTTCATAAACATCTTTCCTCAAGTTCTGTGGATTGGGTTTTGAACAAAAAGGAGAAAATGGTCCTGTTAACAATGATTTGTCATTGTTTCATGATATGATATTTATCTGAACTCTTTTATCTGAAAGCTGCAACATGTGATTTGTTTTAATCGCTCATCTCCTGCTGCTTCCTGTTCTACAACTAGAAAAAAATGCAAAGTATTCTGCTTTGCAGGTAATTTTGTTACCTACCCCGCCCCCCCCACACACACACACACACACACACACACACACACACACACACACACACACACACACACACACACACACACACACACAACGTCACATGAACACTATTGTCAGTCTCTAACAGCATGAACACTAGAATAACATCTCCTGCATACAGTAATATGAATGTGTATAAATGTGAACAGCAGCATTACAAACATGTGATCCAAACTCCACACACTGTTTCTGTTGATATAAATGATCACATGATGTACAGTTGATTACTGTGTCCTACAAATA